TAACCCGAAATTATTGAATTACCTTTTATTGGAAGGAAATTGTTTGTCAAAAAAGGTTTCCTTGTGAATCGGGTTGCAAGTGCAATACAAATAAATAGCCATTTAATCATCAGATAATTGTTTCAACAAAAAAGGTGATTTGGTGAAACAAAAGGGTAAAAGAGGAGCAAAAGTCAGGAAACGGAAAACAATTCAACATCCATTTTTGTGGTTAAACTAGCTAATTTGAAGCTTTCAGGTGAAACAAAAAGTAGCCAATTAGAGTTCAATTTTCACTGTTCATTGTTTCATTTAATTTCATGAAACTAGAGATTTTAGTCTTTTTCTGTTTTCCAATTTCAACAGCTTCTAATTGTGTTTACCTGAATACAATTGTGACTTTGCTATTGAGGAATAATTTGTTTTGATGAATGATAATCAAGGTCTTGGATGGAGATGAATCTTGGGTTTAGAAGAGGAAAAAGGTTGAGATTAATTGAGGCGAAAACGTCTTTACCAGATTGTCAAAGTTAATCCTTAACTTGATTCCAAGATTTTCAGTGTTTCTGGTAAATACTGTATTGGGTTAAGACTAATTACATAGGCCATTGAACAGACAAAATGTTTCATTGTCTTTTCCCATCAACAGCTTTTTTTCAACTTTTCTTTGTTTCGCCCTTTAATCAACCAATCTGTACAACATGAGGTTGATTAATTATCATTGAAATGAGGAAACAATCAACAACAGAAGCTTAACGATGATGATGATAATCAGGGCTAAAGCAGGCTAAAGCTGGTGAAAAAGGGAAAAAGTAACATAATTGTTGATACAATCTTATTAAACAGTGACAAATTATTTAAATGAGAAACAGGCAAAAATATTATTTTTCATTAATCTTCACTCATCTAGTTATTCATGATAATTCAAATGTAACTCAGGTAAAAGTTAAAAATAATCATTAACATGATTAACTGACAAACAATGTTTATAAGAGTGAAAAGTGAGAAACTCAAAGCTCAATGTTAACTTTAAGTTTCTGACCTTTTTCAGTGTCCATTAAAATTGCCTTTCATTTCAATGTCCAATGCTTTTTTAAATTTTTGGATTCTCCCATTTTTGGCAACAAAAATGTCAAACTATTAATGTTGATTTATCTGAACATGATCAAGTGTGAGAATGAATCATTCTGAATCAGAAATTATTTATTGATATTGTTAATGGCTTATTACGAGTCTTCAATATTCATTGATCGTTAAATTTACACTTATCTTGACATTTTAATTTCAAGGTTTCAACTCGTTTTGATCAATTTTCAGGCTTGCGACAGTTTAGTCTTAAAATTTTCTGGTTGCCATCTGCAATTCATTCATTCAATCAGCAGATATTAAGTTATTTTAAAAGGTGAATACAGTTTCTATGCACATTTTAATACTCGCATCCCAAACACGAATTTTCATGGAAAATGAGAAAATTTTCGATAAAAATCATTAATAACCAATTATCGATTTATCGTTTCTGAGGTTCCTTTGAAATGTTGTCACTGTCAATATACAATTTTAAATTCAATTATTTTTTTTGGTTTTTACTTGCTTTTTGTGAAAACCCTCGTCCGTAGAGGAATTGAGTTTTCTTAAAATAAAACTAAATTGATTAAACTATTTCATTATGCGCACAATATAATAAATGTTTGCGACCCGACTTGAGTGGGTACAGAAAGTGAAAAGTTGCCAGTGAACATTATAAACTTCAAGTACTCTTTTCGGTTTAACTTGACAAACCATTTGACTAAACCTTTACCAAAATGTACGGCTTTTTAACTAAATGCAAAGCAGCATTTCATGAATTAATATGTAAAATTTTAATCTTGGCCGGTCACTCTAAAGGTGAACCTTTCACGGAAGCTGGGAAATCATTGAGACGATTTGAAAGTCTAACAATTTCTTCGAGAGCATCGAATTATGGCTTTAAATATTGCAATCAAAAGAACCGAACTCATGTCAACTCTAAAGTGGACAAAATACATTTGCTTATTCGACTTTCCGTTTTCTCTTCAATTGTTCGAGTTTTCACGTTTATCTTTTTTCCCAATGGAAACATTTCTCTTTACCTGGCCAATATACGTTACAAAAGCGACAAATCTGATGCAGCCATATTCACGGTTGTCTTGTTTGCCAGCATTTCGTGTCTCCTTATACGAGAATATTTTTTAATCATTGAAAGGCGAAATGTTTTTCGATACAATTTCACCATTTATCATTGTTTAATCAACAATCACTTGAAACAATGTAAACTGAAACTGTTTCCAACTTTAGTTGAACCCTTTTACCGCACTGTAACTTCAATATCCATCTTGGCATATCAGTTGACTCTATCGGCTACCATTTCATGTTTTACCTGCAATGTTTTAATTTACTTTTTCAATGATAACTTTTATTCCGACAATGTTTACCGAATTTTCTGCCTTCTCTGGATTCCAGCTGCTTCGATAACCTTTGCCAGTCTAGCCAACTCGGTCAACTCGGTAGCTGGCTATTTAGCTCTGCATATAACCTTTGATCTTTATCGGGTTCAATCGATGAAACTTTGGGTTAAATATTTAAGAAACGAACACACTAAAGACACACGAGTTCAATCAAAAATTATGTCTTTGATCATCTCTTGTCTTAACGAATACGATTATCAATCTAAAAGAGTCCGAAAGCTGGCCTTCATTGGAATGTTCATGTTCTTTATGATGACAAATTTACTTCTTTTCATTTCAGGGATCGTCAAATCCTATTCACAGGCTTTTCAGATTTTCTTGATTTTCCTAGGTTCCTCTTCAATTATCGTCGTCGTTTGTCTTTGTTATGCTACTGCTACATTTTTAAGTCAAGTAAGAGACACTTTTTCATTCAATGCAAAATCAAGATTGATTTAAAACTTATAATTGAAATATTTGTTTTTTGTAACAAATTCAATGATAATGTTTCATGCTTTTTCCCGACTATTAGTTGAATAATCTGTACCATCAACTCCACTTGAGCTGTCGCTACAACAAGTTTAACTTGTCTGTATCTTTAAAGGTAAGACATCAACTAATAGCTTTAATACAATATGTACCAAGATTTAATGATTTTGAGTAGAAAACAGTGAATTTCATCAGGAAATATTTACATTATAAACTTAATGTTATTAAGATACTGATCAATTAATTCAATTTGTTTCATCTCGAGGCTCTTGAAATTTTAGACCGAGTTTTAAGTCCACACAATGGGACAACTATTGATGGAGGTTTGCAAGTAACAAAAACTTTTGTCGTTTTTGTAAGTAAAATTTTTAACCCTTTCAATCTCTTATTTGATTCCAATTTGAAATGTTGATTATTTCTGTTAATTTTCAGTTCTGCTTGGAATTCGCTTCCGTATTTATGCTTCTTGTTTGCAATTTGAAACAAAAACTATTCTAACCCGAAGCAACATGTAACTTAATTTAATAATTACCACTGATTAACCATTAAAAAAGTATTAAAAATATGTCAATTTTCGTTGCCGTCCACTGATTTTCAGGGAAGCATACTTTGCTCATCATAAGCTTTCGATAAATGATTCATAACATTTTAATCTTAGGTAAATATGGCTATTGACCTTTGTCAATTTTACCGAGAGCTGAGATGATCCTGGGCTAGTATGCCGATCCAGGCGATGAATCTGAAGCCGATGCTACTGCTACTGGCCCTGAAGCTGTTGAGTTAGCTTAGTTTACTGGCTTAACAGAGTTACCGGTTGAAGTTACTGATGATAATGCTTCTACAGTTGAACTTGAATTTGTGTCAAGTCTTTTTACCCATTTTTGATATGAAAAGTAGAACTGGTAATTTTTTTAATAAAATTTTGAACCTTTGCTTTTGTTTCATTTTGGCTTCACATTTGATAATCACATAGATTTGCTGAAACTCTTTATTTTGAATAAATTTATCTTGAAAAATGAATTTTTCAGTTTTCTAACTTGTTCATGTGACCAATGATAATGCAATCAAATTGATCATCCATGAAATTCAAATTAAACTTTGAGCCATTTTTTTGTTCATTCATTTTCTCTCCATGCATATAACATTGTATATTAGATTAGGAATAAATGTACTTTTCTCGCTGCAACTCCAATGAATAGGCATTTCCATTCCCTGGCCACATAATATAATATGCATTTCTTTTCATCTTTTTTTTCTTCCCTCCTTCTTCCATCTTTTGCTAGTTGCTTTTTTCACCATTCAGTCATCTTTTCCTCCATCACAAGTTTTCCTTCCAGGCCAACATCTCTTATTTTTACCAACAATTATGCAAATCAAAGAGTCAAATCCTTTCTCCTTTGGCATTCATTTGATTCTCCTTCTTCTGCCATTGCGACCATTTTCTTGATTTCCTAAAGTTGACTTGAACTGTTCAATGTTAAACTTGAAATTGTAATGAATGGAAACCAAGCAAACAATTTGAGTTTACAAGGTTTAATCGTAAAAAATTGTATCATCAAAATAAAGTTTAATCAGTCAAGATTGTTTCATTTCAATGGAACGCCCTTTAACCATTCACTTGATTATCCTGAATACGATTATCATGATCATTGCCAAATCAATATTGACTTGAAAATTTCTCATCAAAGAGCACCTACTGAGGGCAAAAGAAGCAGAAAATTTTCAAAAGCAAAGATGAACCGTCAAAAGACTAAGAAACTAATCGAAACCAGTTTCACCTTGAAAATATCAAAATAACTGTCAAATTAACGATTTTTGATCTGAAGATTGAATACTCATATTAAACCATTAACCTGCATAACCAATCATCACGTCATAAATTAATGAATAAATATTAATAAATAATTTCTCATTTCATCAGAATAATTCATTAGCGATTGATTTTACTTAATGTGATCCGACTCATTGTTGATCAGTTAATTTAGCCCATAGAGTCGTAAAGTGAAAAACAAAAGCAAAACAATTAAGTTGCCAAAGTGAAGTCTGAAACTTCGGGTAATCTTTTCGGGTTAACTTATTTGGCCAAACATTTAACCAAAAATGTATCAAATTTTGACTCAATTTATAGCAACATTTCATCAACTAATGAGCAAAATTTTACTCTTTACCGGTTACTCTAAAGGTGAAGCTTTCCTTGAGGTTGGAAAATCATTGAAACAATTTGAAAGTCTAACAATTTCTTTGAGAGCATCAAAGTATGGCTTTAAATATTGCAATCAAAAGTACCGAACTCATGTCCCCTCTAAAGTTCACCCAATATATTTACTTATTCGACTTTCCGTTTTCTCTTCAATTGTTCGAGTTTTCATGTTTATCTTTTTTCCCAATGAAACCATTTCCCTTTACCTGGCCAATATACACTATAAAAGTGAAAAGTCGCATACAGCGATATTTACGGTTGTCTTGTTTGCTATTATTTCATGCCTTATTATGCGAGAATATTTTTTAATCATTGAAAGGCGAAACGCTATTCGATACAATTTCACCATTTACCTTTGTTTAATCAACAATCATTTGAGACAATGTAAATTGAAACTCTTTCCATCTTTAGTTGAACCCTTTTACCGAACTGTAACTTCAATATCCATCTTGGCATATCAGTTGACTCTATCGACTACCATTTCATGTTTGCTTTTTTCATTTGCAATGTACTTTTTCAATTCAAACTTTTATTCCGACAATGTTTACCCAATTTGCTGCCTTCTTTGGATGCCAGCCTCTTCAATAACCTTTGCCAGTCTAGCCAGCTCGGTCAACTCTGTAGCTGGCTATTCAGCCTTATATATTACCCTTGATCTTTATCGTGTTCAGTCAATGAAACTTTGGGTTAAACACTTAAGACACTCTCGTAATCAATTTGATGCATCAAACCTATTAACATTCATCATCTCCTGTCTCAACGAGTACGACTATCAAGCCAAAAGAACTCGAAATATGGCCTTCCTCGGTATAACCATATTTGCTATGACGGCCAATTTTTTCCTGTTCGTTTCAATAATCATTAAACCCTATTCACAAGCTTTTCGCATGTTCTTTATTTTCCTTGGTGCGTCTTCAATTTTTGTCACCATTTGCCTTTGTTATGCTGCTGCTACATTTTTAAGTCAAGTAAGAGACACTTCTTCCATTCAATACAAAATGAAGATTGATTTTTTGGCTAATCATTAATAATTTATGAATCGAATAAGAACTCATTGATTGCTTTAAGAATGAGTTCCACTATCCCAATGATTGGGGAAACGGTAAAGGTTATTCAGATAATTATAAGCAGAAAGAAAGAAAGTTGATAGTGAAAGTAAAAAATCGTAATCAAAATAAAAATTGAAAATATTTGTTCTTTTAAACAAATTCAATGATTATATTTCATGTTTTTCCTGATTAGTTGAACAATCTGTACCATCAACTTCATATGAGCTGTCGCTACAACAAGTTCAACTTGTCTGTATCTTTAAAGGTAAGACATGAACTAGCATTTCAAGATTTAATGATATTGATGAGAAAAACAAGGAACTTCATGAGAAAATGCTTTTCATTGTAAATTAATGTTAAGATACTAATCGATTAGTACAATTTATTTCTTCTCAAGGCTCTTGAAATTTTAGACCGAGTTCTAAGTCCATACAATGGGATAACTATCGACGGAGGTTCGAAGATATCAAAGTTATTTGTCGTTTTTGTAAGTAAAATGTTTAACCTTTTCAATCTCTTATTTGATTCCAATTTGAAATGTTGATTATTTCTGTAAATTTTCAGTTCTGCTTGGAATTTGCTTCCGTATTTATGCTTCTTATTTGCAATTTGAAATCACTTTTTTAACGCAAAACACCATGTAATTCAATAACTATTGATAATTAACCAATAACAAAGTATTACAAAAATGTTTCAATATCTTTAGTCCATCAAACTCAATTTAGAGGTAAGAAATGAATCTAATTTAAAATTATACACTTTAATATGCTCTCAACCGTTTACTTGATAAACATTAAAAGGTTGAAAAAGGACAAAATTTTGTTCATTTCACCACAAATTTGTTCAACATTATCTGGTAAAAGTAAAGTTTCATGGTTAGTTCAATATAGTTGATTGATTATATTGTAAAATCAATTACTATACTCATTGATTTATTTGCTTGTCGATTGTTATATTTAATAGTTTTGATTCTCTGGGTTTTATTTCTTGATTGAGCTTTCTCGAGCAATCATTTTTGTCTTTCCCATTCAAATTGATTTATACGTTTTTTTTCAAGCTATTTACTGTTGTCAAAATGATTTAGTGTTTACATTATTTTCAATGTTCTTGTTTTTACCCTTTTGGGTTTTTATTTAATTTAGTCATCTAATACAATCAACTGATGACAATCAAGACAGTATAAAAAGGCAGTTTATATTATTGGCTTATTATTGAAAAAGGTTTGAAAAAAGCATCAACGGACATCACAGTTAATCTTGTTATTAGATTATCAATCAATTGAGCATTGTGTTATTATCGAAGAGTAAACAATTCATCTAATAATACAATTGTTATGATTATTAGTATTTTTTACTCAATATTAACATGTATGTTTAATATACACACAGATATTTTGTTTCCTTGGAAACAAATTGTAGTTTATGTTCACTTTAGTGTAAACTTTTACATCCACTTTTTACATGCACAATGGTAATGTAAATTATCTGTAGCATAATTTAAAGATACAATGAGTGTGAAAATCATTGGACCAACGGTGTTGACTTTGAAAGGGTTCAATTGAAGATGGACTGTCCAGTGGTTAACAGAAATGATAAATTGTTGAAGGTAATCGTTTTCTGGTTGATTTAATTTCGGTTCACATTGATGAGCTAGAAGAAAGTGTAAGGGATCGACACTACTTTTTGCCTCTCTTAATTTACAGTTTGTAATTCAATGTCAACCCCCATTAGTTTAATATCACATGTTTAGCTTTTCTTCCTTTTCCTCTTTACTTAATATAAATACTGGTCAATTTGACCAACAGATTAGATTATGTTTTTCTCTCTCTCTCTCTCTTTAAAACTGTGATCAACAAATTGTTAATTGATTGAAGAGGGTATTCTCTCAATACTGTGCTCATCATAATCAACTTAATTTACTTAAAAATAAGTCTAATTACTTATTACCTGTGCTCTTGTGTTAACGTTTGATTTACTGGTGACTTAGACACCTCAACTGAAATAAAATAATTTAACCTCAAATTGATTAACAACGTTGATTATACTTAAAGTTATTGAGAAACTGATCTCAGTTGTAAGTCTCTATTCCTCATCCCTGAAGAGACCTTACAAATGGCGAGGATGCTACTCTGAAATCGAACCAGTTAATTGTGTACCATTATCGTGTTTTACTGAAATTGAAGAGAGTTTCTCTCAAAACCTAGTGAAGATTAATCAACAAAATTACTAAACAAAAGCTGAATCTTCACCGTTAAACCTTGAGGAGAGTATTCTCTCATAAATAAAGATTTGTCATTAACACAATCAACTCGTTCGTCAGAATCTTACGATTAAACCTAACCAACATCAGACCTCGATAACTAGTTCCTGCTTTTTCAAATTTAGTATCAATATTGTTCTTCAAATCGTCATTTCGTTGAATTGAAGAGCGTATGCTCTCAAATGTGATAAAGCTGATCAACTATAAATCTGGTTCTGTTGTAAATTGAGTTCAACATTAAGTTCTGTTATAACCTTTATTTAACCTTGGTACAACATTGAAAACTAAGCAACTATATTCATTCCTGCTTACATCTTGAAACAATCGAGGCTTTCATCATTGATCAAACTAATTTAGATTCGCTTTGGTCATTTTCTCAGTTTCCTACTCTTGAAGATAGCGTTGAAGATACATCAATAGTATCAATCAAACCAAATATGGCAACTGTAAAAGATTACTTATCATCAGAAACTGTTAAAAGAGAAACAGCACAAGTTCTCGGTCTCAACATGCCACCATCAATGAAGATAAACTATGTAACTGGTCAAGTCAAACAAGCATTGAGAACAAATGCCATTTATCATAAATCAATTAATACAGTTGGTGAATGGAACCTAGAACTTGTATTTGATAAAAAATGGCTAGAAACACCTGAAAGTATAAAACGTTTACGAAACTATAAAATTACTGAAGATAATATAGTAAATCTAGTTTTGTCTGAAATTGATGATGATATTGATTTAGATGAAGAAACATTGTTTGAAATGGGTTTTACAGCAGCTCAAGTATCTCGATTCAGACAAATGGCTCAAAAAGAAGCAAACAAAGACGAAGAAACATTTGGACCTCAGTCATTATGCTTTAATCGCTTACCAGATAAAAACCAAGATAAAAGCAAAGTAACCTTTGAGCCTAATAAACCTTCGACAAGTTATGAATACGAGAAACCACCGCAAGAAGCTATTTCAGCGCAAGATAAATTTATTGAAATGAATAAAGACAGAATAATCCAACCATTTGATGAAAGATGTGAGACGATTCTAGCATATTTAGATCGTTTCGTTAATTTGATGTTTGATGTTTATGAATTATCAGAAGACATTGCAATTAAACTACTAAAAACCAGAGTCTCTGCGGACGTTTACCAGCTAATCAAGAATATTGAATCAAGATGTCACAATTTAACCTTGAAACAACTGATTACAGAAATAAGAAAAAGTTATATTGGGCAACCAGAACTCATTGCCGCTAAAAATCGTTTGTTTTATCAAAAATTTCAAATCGGAATGGACCCTCAATCATACGTTAAAGCAATTACAGACGCTTACAAAACAGTTATCCCATTTTCAAAAGACATTCATATTGCTTATTGGTTATTAACCTTGTTACCTGAGAGACTCGTATTTAACGCTATTCACGAGCAAACAATTGATTCAACTGAAAAGGTTTTAACGTTACTAATTACTTATGTTAATAGGATATTGACTGACAATATAAGAAGGAATGAAAGAAGATCAGAGCCTAGAATTGCTCAGTCTAATCAAAATTATTACAGTCAACCAAATAATTATCAACAAACAAACAACAATCAACAGCAATATCCTCAACAACAAAACAACTATCAAAATAGTAATCAAACAAGTAACAATAATCAATCTCCTAGATACACTAGAGGAGGTTACAACAACAGAAGAGCGAACAATCGTGGATACAGAAACAATTATAACCGTCGAGATAGACCTCCACGTTATGAAGATGCAATTCAATCATCATCTAATGCTAATCAAAACCAAAATACAAGTTCAAACGTAACTAATACGAACCAAAATTCATCAAATGCAGCAACTCCTTGTTTGATTTGTTACGCCCCTGGTCATGTTGCTGCAAATTGTCCTCAAAACAATAATACAAATAACAATACGGTTAATCAAGCAAATTATTTACATGTTTTAGCTACGGCTTCAAGTGAAAAGAAGAATAATGTCCCTGAAATCAAAATTTTAGTAGAAGAAACTGATTTATCAATTAACGGTTTATTTGATACGGGTGCAAATGCTACCGTTATTAAGACTGAAGTTGCAGAAAAACTTGGTTTAAGAATCTACAAATTCAGAGAAAGCTTCATGGGATTTGCAGTAACAACAACGAAAGCTGCTGGTGTAACTCAAGTAATTTTCAAAACGGTTGAACCGTTCTATCAAAATGCACTAAGAGTTTATGTATTTGACAATTTACCTTATGATATCATTTTGGGATCTAACTTCTCATATTGGTGTGATGCGGGTGCAACAATTGTTAATCATGAACGCTGGTCAATTTTTCAACATGAAGGAACATTTTTTCCTCTCAAATTATCAATCAAGATTCCATCAAAAGTCAGTTTTGATTATGTTTTCACTGAGTATTTTCCAAAAATATTTGGTCCTGAAGTTCCAAGTGAACCAGAAAAAACACCAGAAAAACCAATTAAGAAAAGAAATCGAAGGAAAAATAAAAAAGTGGATGATAATTCAGCAACTAATCCAGATTTCGCAGTAAATTCTTATAACATACTCAACATTGAAAAAACTGAAAATGAAAAGTATGAAAAAACTTTCATGAAGATGAAAATCGATAAAAGAAAAGAAGAGTTTCCTTCGCAAATTGACAACGTAATGCAAACGTTGAATTGTGGGGTCGATCCAAGACTTAATTATAAACAAAAAATAAGATTGAATAATTTTTTCAAAGTCTATTCGGACGTGTTTTCGAAGTCAAAATACGATATTGGAAAAATTCCTGCTGAAAAAGTTGGAATTAAAATTGATTTGGGAATGAATCCAATACCTCAATGCAAACCATATCGACTGGGACCTGAAAAAAGGGAAATTTTAGACAATATGATAAAAGAGCTGATTGAAAATGATATTGTTGAACCATCAACATCACGAGGTGGTTCACCTGCCTTTTTAGTTCCAAAACCTACTCCAGGTACTTACAGATTCGTCACATCATTTCAAGAACTAAATGCTTTAATGCGAACCAGAAATTATCCAATGCCAAACATTGAAGATTTTATACAAGCACTTGCTGGTTACAATTACTTTATCACTATTGACTTTGCTCAAGGATTCCATCAAATTGAATTAGATCCTGAAGAGCGAGAAAAGGTTGCCTTTGTCACTGAAACAGGCAAATACCAATACATAAGGCTACCAATGGGCTTAGCAGACAGTCCAGCATATTTTCAACAATTTGTCAACAAAATCTTCGGTAAACTATTATATAAATGTTGTCTAGCATACATTGACGACGTAATCATTTTTGGAAAGACATTTGATGAACTTTTGATGAATGCGACTCAAACCTTTAACAAAGTTAGAGAAGTCGGACTTAAAATTCAGCCTGATAAATGCAAGTGGGGGCATGAAGAAGTAAAATTCCTAGGACATATTATATCTGGTAAATCTATTAAACCAGATCCATCGAAAATTGAAAGATTGAAACAATTTAGTCCACCTAAAGATTTAAAATCACTGCAAAGTCAACTCGGATTATTCAATTATTTGTCGAAATTTATACCAAATTATTCAACTTTAGCTTCAAACTTATTTGAATTATGTAGTCGCAAGAAAAAATTTAAATGGACGTCAATACATCAACAAAACTGGGAATTAATTAAATCAATACTTATCAGAGATTGCGAACTCTGTCAATTTGACCCACTCAAAGAGCATCAACTTGAAGTTGACGCATCATCGATTGCTGTGGGAGGAATGTTAACACAAAAAGAAGAAGATAACTGGCGCCCAGTTGCTTATTTCGGTCAAAAATTAGCTAAACATCAGTTAGCATATACAATCACAGAAAAAGAATGCCTTGCTGTTATTGTAGGAGTACTTAAATATGGTCATTACTTACTTGGTAGACCTTTCACAATTATATCCGATCATTGTGCACTTTGTTCACTGAAGAAAATCAACTTTAAATGCGCTCGATTACACAGATGGGCAACAATTTTATCACAATACAATTACAAAATCATTTATAAAAAAGGCAGTGAACATCCAGCGGACTGTTTTTCTCGTAGTAACGAGTGGAAACACAAAAGAACGGGTGAAATTGATGAGGAGGATTTTTACCGTTACATTCACTATTTAAATGCTCCGAGTTTAAATTTAATTTTAGAAAATGATGATTCGTCACAAACAAATGAACCTTTAGTAATTGAAAATGAAGATAGATGTGATTTGATTTCTTTACATGAAACTGAAAATGAAAATGAATCTGTTCAAATCGCAACGATAAAAGAAATTATAACAGATATTAATGAAAAAACTGGTCAACCTGAAATCATGGACAACCATACCATGAAAAAATTTATCTTCAGCATCACTTACCCAGAAATTGAAAAGAATCATTCAATTTTTCACCAAGAACAAGAAAAAGATTCATTCATTAAGAGAATCAAAGAAGAAATACTGAACGAGAAGATTCATCATAAAAACTACATCATTAAAAATGATCTTGTTTGTCGTAAAATGAAAAATGGTAAAATTGCTGTTTACGTACCTGCTTCCTTAATTGAGAAAGTCTACACTGAATATCATGAGAAAACATTAGGAGGACACTTTGGCTATAAACCAACAGCTAAACGTATAAGAGAAAATTTCTGGTTCCCACTCATGAATAAGATTATTCGTGATAAAATCAGACTTTGTGATATCTGTGGTAGATACAAGCATAAAACAACAAACGATCATATCCCTAGATCAATGCCGGTTCCAAAGTTACCACTTGAAAGAATCCAGATTGATGTTGTTGGTGCTTATAAAAGTTCAAACCTGCGAAACAAATATCTTTTCGTTGCAGTTGACATGTTAACACACTTTGTATTTGCTCAGGCATACAGGAATCAAACATCAAAAGAAGCAAAAGAGTTTATTGAGTACATCATTCGATTTGTTGGACCATTAAACGAAATCCAAACTGATAACGGTCCATGTTTTAGGTCAGATGACTTCAAAAAATATGTTGAAGAAAATCAATTCAAACATATAAAGTCAACACCTTACCGACCAGAATCACAAGGATTAGTTGAAAGAACCAACGGAATCATTGGGAACTTGATAAAAATGACAGCTGATGGAAATATAAAAAATTGGGACAAAAATTTAACCAGAAACATAATAAGCTATAACCATACACCTTCAGAGTCCCTTGGAAACTCTCCACATTATCTGCTTTTTCAGATTCCATCAAGAACAACTCTTACAAATCAAATGGATACTCCAATCGAGTTCGATAGAAGTAACATCGAAGCGATCAGACAAGAGGTTATTGATCAAAGGTTAATTAAACAGGAAAGATTCATGCAGAATCAAAAATTGAAAGAGAAACCATTCAAACCAGGGGATATTGTTAGAGTTGCTATCAAAAACATTAGCTTAACCCTTGGTAAAAAGTTAACTCCATCATTTAAAGGTAAATACATTGTTCACAATGTTTTGGATTCAGTCGCTGAAATTACTTGCATCGAAACTCTGAAAAAATTTAGAGTAAATTTTGACCAACTCAAGCTTATCAACGTTGGTGAAACAGAAATTGAAGCAATTGAACAAGAATCAAGCGAGTAAAACAAGGAAAACCGTCATTATTCATAATTCATCAAATTACTAAGTAATCTTCACCTGTTAATAGAATAATCTACAACGAAAAATATACAACGAAACAATCTCATGATCATCATTGAAACAACATTAAGAAAAGTAGTTTTAATCTTTTACAATATTAACAACAATTAGTTCAAAATCAAGAGTCAAAATTAACCAAAACTAACGTATTTTAAGAACCTAAAGTTCAAGGATTATCATGATTTACAACAAAACTAACAAATCAAATTCACCTTATAATGCTCAAACTAGATGCTCAATAACATATTCACAGTTAATATTACTTTAAAAATGTTTAAAAATACCAAAAAACTCGAACACAAAATGACCAAAAATTTACCTTAGAAATGCCATTGAAACTCGCTCATTAATGATAAAGTCAGATTTATTTTTGGATTAGCTCCAATTTTAATGCATAGTTGAACAGATCTCGTTGAGATCTTTCGATTGATATATTGCTTTCCTTCACCAACTCAAACCCTTCAATACCACAAGTGACCAAAGTTTCAGCCTCCACCCCCACGAATCATGTTTTTTGCTTATAATTTTGGAATCAAATGTTGTAGATCAATGTTCAATGTCTCAAAAGATTCATATTTAGCTCAGTAAAGATGCTTAATGATAAAAAACATCTTAAACTTACATTTACCTATTACAAGGTGAAAAAACCTAAAATTTAGTCAAAATAAATAAGCTTGAATGGTTACTTTTGGATAGTTGAACAGCTCAATAATTGTCCAACTTATCATAACATATTATATATCAATCGAAAGCTCAATTCATGGTGAAGGTAACTGTATAGTTTAACTGAATGCATTGTTAAAACATGAAGCTCAAAAAACGATCAAATCAAGTCATGTTTTTCATAGATTTAGCATTGAAAAATTTCTCAATGTCATAGCTTTCGAGCCGATAATCCTACAAATCTAAAACCAATTTTAACTCGTTTAGATTGTTCAAATTAGCTCTAACAAATGCTTTAAAAAGCAACAAAAAGTCAATTTCAAGTTTCGAGTTTCATCTCAAAACCAATGCTAAATCTCATGAGATCAATCTTTCAACAATAACTAACCATCAAAGCTAATCATGCTCATGAAAACAAATTTTATGCATACAATTTTGATGCACTTATGAGTATCGATGGTCAATTAATCAAATATTTTTCATTTATCGATGGATTGCCTTAATGTCTCCATCTATTGTTTTGTCAATTTACATTGTCAATGGTCTTCCTTTTCCTCTTTTGATAAAAATGCACTCATTACTAGATCAAGCAGTTATAATACATGTTTCTTAATGCTCTCATTTACTTCAATCTTTTCTCATGAGTTTGTTAATGAATTTTTGGTGCATTTTTCAGTTAATTTCAAAATTGAGTTCAATATTGTTTCAAGTTGTCACAGAAGTAAACGTTTGAAGAGAGTATTCTCTCAAATGATCATCATCTCTGCATCATAATCAAAAACAAGCGACAAATATAGTGGTACAGTGTTCAGCTAATGAAGTGAAGATGCTTATTGAATTGAAAGCTCATGTTTTCTATGCTCATTTCTCGGAAATAAATTCATTTCAATTCCAAATTGATTGCTAAAATTGAATCAAATTCAACAATAAGTGAAAATTGTGCTCACATCTAACCAACAAACATCAATCAATTGAGCTGCTTGTACATCAAATCATCATTAAACCGTCAATCTCAACATTAAACAAACTACTCTTCTTCTGGTCATTCATTCAGCACCTTCAATAATTGCTGTATCGTTGCTAATTGACGAGCGTATGCTCTCAATCTGATGGTCAACTTTCTTCATTTCATCACCTTTACATGTTATTCAGTAACCACATCTAATCTCGACCATAAAGTACTCTCTAACTGAAGAGGTTTGATCCATTCATTTGACTTGATTCAGGTTCAAAGTCTAACAACCAAATTGGTGGATTCTTTTGATATTGGATTAGCATTAAGTTTTGAATCAAATATCAACAGTGATAAGATTGAAGGAAAATTGGTCAAAGACAAGGTTTTTACTGAAAGCAATCATCATCTTTTCATCTTAAGCAATTACCATTAATCTCATAATAGATTGAAATGTCATCTTCATCGTCATCTTTAGCAATAACAAAAGTCTATGATGTTAAACAATTCTACCAATTCATCGAAGACAAGTACAAAAGAAAGTTCAAAAACACAGCAGTCGAAAGCATCTTTTCAGCATTCAATATTGTTAAGCTTAAGCCTGGTTTTACCATTGATAACGATCCTGGACTCGGTATAACCAAAAATTTGTGCAATCTTTGCGACCAATTAGCTGTTGAACCTTATAAATGTTACAATTGTGATCGACTTTATTGCAAATTATGTTCACATTTCATGGTAATTGTCAACAAAATAACTAAAAATGAATCAATACTGGGAATCAATGATAGCTATTTGGAAAATTTAGCATTCAATTGTATAAGTCATAATTGTAACAGTCAACAAATCTTGAAAAGAGTATCATCAGATCGTGAATTTGACTCAGAAATAATAACAGTTAATTGTATCTACAATAACTGTAAAGAAAAGAGATTTTATTCATTAATGATTGACCACATTAGTAACTGTAAACTGCAATCAAATGTCTTCAAATTTGATCAATCGTACATTGCTGACACTTTCATCAACATTATGGACCCAATACTCAAGCAAGATGACTTGATGGTAAAGTTTTTATCAACAATAACAACTGGAGATGAAAACCATTGTAATCAAACGGCTCAAGATGTATATAAGCAAACCTTCATAAGTTCATTTGAAAGACAACATAAAAACTTAATTCAACAAAAGGAAAGAATCGAAGGCCTTCAAAAGCAAATCGATGAAAAAAGAGCCAATTCTGCTAAGCAAATTAATAATCAACAAGTTAAACGACCTTCTTATTCATACCCATCAAAAAATGCAAACAAATGTATCAACAACGACCGTCCAAGTAAACGAGTGAGAGAATCGAGTTCAGTTGCTTCAGAATGTTATTCCATTGTTGATTGGGGCGATTGGAATAAACCAATCATGAATAATAATGATGTTAATGAAAAACAAATGAAAAGCTCCATCACTCACCCAATTAATCATGAACCAAACCAAATTCAAGTTAAATCAGTTATAAGTAAACCTGCAATTACAGATATTGAAATTGAAGACATTGATGATGTTTTGTCCACAAATCTCGATGCTTATCAACCAGATAGCAAAAGTGGTCCAAAAACTAAACAATCAATGGAATACAGTGATCTTTTAAAAAGAAAGTTTCATGATTACCAAAGAAGACACTCAGTTGAACGAAATAAGAAAACCAGAATAAGACGTGATGTTGCTTACGATTCGATTAAAGCTGAATTTTGTGTTAAACAGCTAGAGATGATCAAACCTCCACAACACTTTGCTTGGTTAATAGCGAAAAATAATGTCCAGCTTCACCAAGATAGTTTAAATGCTTGTTCAATTGATATTGAAAACTTAACACTGAGAGTAAAAACTTCTTCCAATCAAACGTCCAAAATACAAGTTCCATGTTGGATTTCTATCGTTGATTCATCAGGAGAAATCATATTTAATGAATTCATTAAACATCCAAAATCAGCAATTGAAGACTTTATGACTGAACATCATAACATTACATGGGTTCAGTTAAAATATGCACCAACATTTTACCATGTCCGTAAACGAATCATCACGATATTGAGGAAATATAAGCGAATTATTGTGTCAGGTCAAGCTCAGGACTTCAAAAACCTATTCATAAATCCAAATGATCATGATTATCTACTTCCAAGAATCATTTGTATCTCGAGTTATTATAATTGTAGATCTAATTCACCACAATTAGGATTGAAATATTGTATATTTACGCTTTTTGGTAAGATCACTCAATCCAGAGAACACTCTTCATTGGTTGATGCTGCTTATACAATGTATTTATATTTGATCGACTACCAAAGAATTGAACAAACTAGAATCAAATGGCTCAGCACACAACCAGTAAGAATCCACGGACTCTACCAAGGTTATGTTTATCCAAAAAATCATTACATGTCTGGACTTATTAATGACATTATGAATTACATTGATGATTGGCCAAACCCTTTGAAAAATGATGTTGCTTTGAAACATTACATGTCAAAAACTCGAAGACAAGAAAAACTGAATAATAGATCTTATGATGAAACCAATTTCGTCGAACCAATACCAAACCATGACCGTCCAATCCCTTATAAGTTTAATGAGGCAAAATTTCGTTACCTTTGCCGCCCTCGAACCTAATGAAGGACCGATTGCGACTTAGTGGGGGCATCTGTAAGGGATCGACACTACTTTTTGCCTCTCTTAATTTACAGTTTGTAATTCAATGTCAACCCCCATTAGTTTAATATCACATGTTTAGCTTTTCTTCCTTTTCCTCTTTACTTAATATAAATACTGGTCAATTTGACCAACAGATTAGATTATGTTTTTCTCTCTCTCTCTCTTTAAAACTGTGATCAACAAATTGTTAATTGATTGAAGAGGGTATTCTCTCAATACTGTGCTCATCATAATCAACTTAATTTACTTAAAAATAAGTCTAATTACTTATTACCTGTGCTCTTGTGTTAACGTTTGATTTACTGGTGACTTAGACACCTCAACTGAAATAAAATAATTTAACCTCAAATTGATTAACAACGTTGATTATACTTAAAGTTATTGAGAAACTGATCTCAGTTGTAAGTCTCTATTCCTCATCCCTGAAGAGACCTTACAAAAGAAAGGAAAAAGTTATGATAATGATTGACACCATTGGACAATTTGTAATGATAGGTTTGTAAATATTTATCAAACGTAATTAGAGACCAAAGGCAAGATTTTGCTTCAATTTAACCGGTTTTCATCATTTTCAGATTGTTAATATTAAGTTTACTGTTTGAAAAGGTAAGGCAACCGTTTTTGTTTCATATGTACTTATTTGTACTTTTATCGTTTAAATCAATATTGATTCATGTTTCTTTTACAATCTAAAATCAACAAAGGGTGATGAAGATAGGAAAAGAAAGCTTAAAGCTTATCACTTTGGCCATCCCAATAGTCAAAATGTATCAATCAGTTAACTAACCTGAGATGTAGTTTAATTTGGATTTTTGGTTGGGTTTACCAAGGGGAATAATATTGAAGGCTCAAGATTATATCCTTTTGTATTGAAAGGGTAACAATCAAGATGAAAGCCTTTTTTGTATACCTCCTTATATCACCAGGTTATTCATTAATCACAATACAAAAATAGAAAAGGATTTACAGAGAGAATAAATGTTATCAATAAAACAATATGTAAACGGGAAAACGATCGGAATAATCTCCAAATTACTCGATAAATTGTTCAACCTGAGAACAATAATTTCCACCAACAGTTGGTCAATATAATTAATTTAAATCAGAATATTTAATTAAATGAAAATCAACACAAGTCACATTGAAATAAGCAAAAACATGAAAGGATTGAACTGTTAGGTAATGGAAGCCATTGACTTCAAAATTGGAGGGAAAAGGCTATCATGTGATCAAAGGACATGAATCCTAAAGGGGGCGCAATTAAAGATATCAAGATATTGACTTGTAATTTAAGATGATCGTTAAAATGTTATGATTGTAAACAATTTAGTTTGATCTAGTGAAGTTGATTAATCATTAGATGCGAATGTTGGACAAAATTGTTAAAAGATTACAAACAGTAAGGATGATTAAATGAAAAACTAAATAAGGAATTGGTAATCCCATTGGATCGTATCAAAGACTCGATATCTTAAAGTTGATACTCTTGCAAACTATTAATTGATCAATTTATTTATTTCTTCAAACATTCTCTGGATTATCATCATTCCCATCATCATTATCCATCATTATCAACTGTTTGTGCTCATTTATTTTGCTCTAAAATGAGTCAATGAAAAAGGTAAGTATAATTCCTATTTATTTTTCCTTGCTACAATTTTTGCCATTTGATAAACATTATCCCTTACCTTACGCGAACTCTTTCTTTCTTGTTGTTTTGTTCATCCTTAAACTGTAATTTTATTTTGTCTTATTTATTTAGGTAGCCAGTTAATTGCCCTTGAATCACGTTCATTCAACTACTTTAATCATGTCTTCTGGCCAGTTGAGATAAATCCGTTTTTTTGGTTTCCTTACGATTGTTAATGTGATCCAATGGAAGATATTGAGAGCAAAAAAACAAAAGCAAATGCTAAATACTGAAAGGCATGGACATTAACTGGAAGACAAACGTTTTTACTGGTCATTTCTGTTAATTGTAACAAATTAACCATCCAACTTTTGCTCATTACAATGGATGGAATCTTTTGTTAGTTAACAGTCAAAAGAAGTTAATGATTGTTGGATAAACATGTAAAGACACTCAAAAGTGAAGCCTGTGACATTAAATTCATCCTGTTGAGTTGGACTTTATCTCTAAGGAAAGGAAAGCCAAAATGACAACATAAGCAATCAAACCCAATTAGCAAACCCAAAAGTGAATATAATTCAAGCTAACCAAATTGCTACAAATTCAAGACCAATAATTGATCAATTGAATTGAAATGGTAAGACAACAGTTTCCAAACAATTCTGTTGGTTAACAATAGCAATAGGTTTATACAGATCGTAACTCCTATCATTTCCAATCAAAAATACTTATTTTGATTAGCTGTTACCTGAAACGTTCATAGATACCAGAGTAATCCGATGATTATGATAATGATGGTCTCGAATTTCAAGATTTTCAAGATTAATAAGTAGATTAACCTTGCAATACATTTGTATTTGATGACTCTTCACCGATGGAAGTGAATAATAATGATTGAGTGCTTTTTACAATTGTACATTTAATCAGTTTAATCGTCTTCAAAGTTGACTTAAGATGCACTTTAAAGATTATAAAAGGCTGATTATATCCATTGAACAGTTATTAATTACAGTGGAGTTAATCATCACTATGCAACTTACCCGATGGAGTTTCAAATAACCTTTCCTCGGTCAATTGATTATGTGAAGATGAGAAGAACGGAAAAGTTGATTTTTGACTTGTATCAATGGTAAACTGACTGTCTTGTTTAACCATGTGATGATCACGATTAGAGTCATGTAGACCAGATTGTTGATGTTGATCAAAAGGATAATTTTTGTGAGGCGAACTGAATTTACCAAAATGATGATTAGTTAAACTTTTGGGTACAAAAAGGAGCGTTATCCAAACACAAACAAACAATGTCATCATTTGAAACTTGATGAACAAAATTGATGACAGCAATGATGAAGTGTAATATAAACAGAGAAGAAGAAGAGAAGTGAAACTTCCTAAACACTTGATTAGTCTATTGTTACACTTTTAAACATGATTTGAAATGTCCATTGATTGTGTTTAAAAAAATGTCGAGTCAATCCAAAAAAGTGAAAAACCGGACAATAAGAAAGTTACTCCATTAAACATTGAAAACACATTGTGACTCAAATAAAGTCTCAATGATAACTGAGCATAAAATTCACTCCCAGTTTCTCAATGTCGACTCAGTCTTGCTCACTTTTTGCTTACTCATCTCACGCAATCTTCCTTCTTCCTCCTTTTCCTCATCCTTTCATCATCTTCTTCTTGATCATCTTCCTCCTCTTTGCCTTTCCTTCACAATTATATCACAAACTTGAACAACATCATCATACTTCATGAAATAACATTTAACAAGTTGAAAGTGAGTTAAATGTGGAGATGGAGAAAGAAAGAAGAAAAAACAAAATTTTGATAAATTTTCCTTCCAAACACTGAATTATTTTCCTCTTATTAGCCTTTTTTGGTGAAACTTATATCAGATAAAAATAATGATTAAAATATACTTTTCTTTTCTTTTGCAGGCTTACAGTTCAATGTTTGGTGACTACTTTTTTGTTCAATCTAATAATCAATGGTATCAATGATTGAATCGATAAATTGATTGATTATAAATGTAATAATAACCATAATAACATAGTTGCTGATGATTATTGCGATAATGGAAATATTCTGGTACATTTGTTGGCCTGAAAACCAAATGGAAATTAAATTGTGTGTTTACATTTAAATGTAAGTAAATGAATAATCTTGAGTGGAAATTGTTTTCAATTGAAAAGTTTCCAGCGCAATAAAGTTGCAAATTTTCAGCTGTTGACAATTTACTCATTTTATCACTTCAAGTGTGCTCAGTGGCAATGATAATTGTTTTGTTTTAAAGCTTCCAATTTGATTGTTACCATTACATGATTATTATCAGTGTCAACTTTAAATTGAACTCTTTTTTGCCTTCTCTCTGAACAAAGTGTATAATTATTTTTCATTATCATTATCTTTTCTCCTTTTCTTTCTAGCTTTTGTTCGCCATGCAATAATATCTGGTTCTGTCAATAACATTCACATTTTTACGCCTATCAATCTGATTCTGGGAGGTTTCACATTTAATACAGCTTGGTGTAAATCTTGAAGAAAAAGTCGGTTCTTTGGTATAAACTGGATGAAACAATTTTTGCCAACTAATCAACATGATTCCCCATTGAAGACATTTAGAATTGAATTAAGTTACGCCCAAAATGGTTCAACATCATCAGGATCATCATGAGAAACCACTAAAGAAAAATGAAGTTTATTCTTACATTAAATTCAAGACAACATTTTCACCAAAATGGCTTTTGGACTGTTGATTAAAAGGATGAACTCCTATTGTATTGATGAACCTAATGAAGAGCAAGGATAATTTTTTAATTTGCTAATGAGATGCTCTAGTAATTATCATCTAGAAGATTCCAAGCTCATCATAAGTTATGGTAAACCTGGTTGACTTGATTGATGCTGACAAACAAATAAGAAAAGTTGATGGCAATAATTGAATTGGAGTTTGTATTATCTAATGGAAGAGCAATCGACTTGATTCTAGCTCTATTGGTATATTACATTGAAAACTGTTGTTGCCCTTCAATACGAATCACCTGTCCAAGCCTTGCATCTATAATTTTTGGGAAAATGGTTTCAATTATTGCAACCAACAAAACAGTAATTGATTTAACGATTGATTGAGTGTTTACCATCAAAATCAATGCATAACAACTTAAATATCACTTAATCACATTTCATTTTCTTCTTCCTCCTCTCATTATTTCTACCTTTTAAATACAATCTAATCACGTTAAGAGCTATCCTACTAACACAACAAAGCTTACAAAAAAAAGTATCAACATGCGATTGAACCTTAATGATCATGCTGGAAGTAATCGTAATAATGGGGAAAAAGTGAACATGGAAAAGTAAAGCACAAAAAGGAGATGTAAAACCTGGTAATTCAAATCATGTTTTACCTCATGTAATCTGTTCCTGATGAGTCCAGTGTTTATATGTAAGCTTCAGTTGGAACTAGTAATGAGTAAATGATGACATTGATTTTGTGTAAGGAAAAGCAAACGATGAGCAAATCTGACAACATAACAGCAACATCAACAAATTCAATAACAAGCAAAAAAAAATAACCCAAAAGTCCAAGTACATGTGTATATTGTGTGAAAGTAATCAATAATAGATTGGTAATTAGTAATCACAAAGACATTGATGACCAGAAATTAACCAGAAAGACATTCCAGAAGACTTTTGTGGATGACCAAAGTATCAATAACCTGGAAAAGAAATACATTTCCACCAAAACGGCTGACTGACCATCACTCAATTCAATTATCTAATCATTGGTTTATTCACGATTAGATAAACCCACTTTTTGAATATCCTTTTGCTTGCTTCTTTCTCGCCTGCAAACGGTAATGAAATTGTATCAATAACTTTGATTTTTTTCTGTTGATTGTTAAATAGCTAAACTCATTAATCAGCATCATGTTGTTAATAAGGTTAACATTATAATCAACTAATGAGAGATTCCTTGTTCATCCAATCTCTCATTGAGAATCGAATAATCAGTTTCATTGCCTCTTTTTTCGTGTCTCTTCACCCAAATTAGATTAACACAAATAATTTATTTAACCTCACTAATATTTATTTTCATCAAAACCATCATGAGAGGAACAGCAAAAAAAAGGACAAATCTGAAGATTCATCATTACTTTTCTGTTAGTACATATAATGCACGGATAATCAGTCAAGATATTTTTGTTACTAATCACTTTTTTGTTCATCCTTTTATTCAGACTCTGGACTTGAATCTCACTACTAATCGGACCAAGAAATTAACCTTTTGCTGTTGCATTTCTCTCTGTTACAAATTGAATCAACATTAAATTAAAGTTACTCTGGATGGCAATTTAATTGATGTATTTTGTGCCTCTCTTTCGCTTTTCGATTAATATGATTGAAATTGTTTCCTACATTGTGCTTTTCTTGGTTATTGTTATATCATTTCACTCCTCATAAACTGTCAACTTGGATCAAGTCAATTTTTAAAGCAACAAACAAAAAGTCAATCAGTTAATTCATCTTTACATTGGTGATCAGCTGAAAATGCAATTTCATCTTAAACTCAATTACCATTTCAATCCTGTTGTCAGACACCATTTTACTTTCACTGCATCACCATTGAATATAATGGAAACTGAAAACATCTATGACAAAAGGACCAAGAAGTAAATTCAATTTAAGACTTGACTTACCAAATGGAGATACATTGTCAAGAAGGAAAACCTTACCCATGATTCATAAGTTAACCATAATCATCTTGAATATTTGCCATCTTTTGGAACCAATTCACTTCTTCAACATACTTTCACTTTTTTCATAGGTACGTATACCTTTAAATGGCTTTAATGCTTTTATCCAAAGTAACCTTTTTTTCAACTTACTGTTTTCAATAGAAAAGTTACTTTTCTTTTCTACGTAAAGTCCAAAAAAAGATTTTCTGGGTTATTCTTAAGGGTTTTAGTTTATTTCTTATCCGTGACTCAAGGCCTGAAGGGCTTATCTCAAATCGGCTCAAAATTTTTTCTTAAAACTGGACAACAACCTTAGTTTAAACATTTTACTTGAACAGACACTTTACCCTTGACCAAAATCATTGTATTCACTTTTGACTATTTTCAATTGAAATGAAGTTTTCATTCGTATTGTTAGTTTTTTTAATTTTATTTATTTCCGTAAATGCTAATGTGATTATTAATTATAAGACAGGATCTGGTGAATCGATAAGATATGATGGATATAAACCAATTAACACAAATCTTAAATCAATTTGGAAAGGAATCATGCCTGGTATGTTTATTACGGTTATGGTGCTCTCTAGTGTTTAGCAATTAACTAACATTGTAAGTGTCTTTTTTATCATCAAAGGTACCAAATGGTGTGGATTGGGTGACCAAGCTAAACATTACAATGATCTTGGTGAATATGCTGATGTTGATAGGTGCTGTCGTGATCATGACCATTGTCCAACCAGAATGAGATCTATGAGGGTGGCCTATGGTCTAATGAACTTCTCGTTATATACCATGTAAGTTATAGTTTTCATTATTCTCTCCAAGTCATATGATAGTTCACAAGTTCAAAGGTTAAATTTTGTTGAATATTAAAAATGGCCTCAGAAAAAGGGATAACCATCTAAGATTGCCTCAAAATTTTAGCAAGTCTTATTATCTTCATGGACACTTTGATACTTCAAGTCTAAATCATGAATACTCTATCTTCAGTTGTCTAACCTTCAAATATCAAAGTGAATTGTATTGAATTGAATAACTAGATGAAATGTGAATAGTGAATAGCCCAAAAGATTGAATACTATTAAAAATTGAACAATTTAAGAAACGTTTAAAAGCTATTCTTTCGAGTTAGCTTTAAAAATATCAATGCTACGGGCACAGTTGCTGGAGCTTTATCTTTCACGCTTGCAATTCTTAAAATTTATTAGTTAGTCAATTATTTGAGAGTGAATTTGTAGTAGGCCTACTTTATGATTGAAAATTTGTCGTACATTAATTAATTGTCTTTGTTTCTTGTTTCAGATCCCATTGTCGATGTGATGAAGCCTTCTACAAGTGTCTCAAGAAAACAAAATCTTCCTTAAGTGACTTAATTGGTAACATTTATTTCAACGTGATGCAAACAGCCTGTATAGATACAGCGAAACCTTGTAAATCAAAATTTGACCCATTTTGCGCTGATTCCATATTTTTTAAAGGAAGACCCAAATCAGAGCCTAGAATTGTTTTTGTACCAAATAAATTAGAATATTGATCAAGTTCAACTTTCTATGGTTTTAGCTCATTTAACATTTAACTTTCATCGGTTCTAACATCACTAGTGCCATCTATATTTTTCTCCGTTTACTAGCTCTACTTATTGCCACTTTGCCATTAAGCTCGGAAAACTACAGATATTTACTGATTGTACTGAAACTCAGGACCAGATTTCCTGGTAAATATGATTAACCAAATGAACGCAAACCTCCATCAATAAATTGATAGCTGTTTACTCGTTCATTTTGATATCTTCATTAGAAAATATGAAAATCAAATGCTATAACACGAGTAACATTATTTAATGCCTTTGGAGTAAATTCAGATTACCTGTGGACATAAGACTTAATATTTAATCGTCATTGAATCTGAAAAATACTTCACAGCATCTTTGAGATAGGACTTTTTACATGTACACATGTATAATATGAGTATTGAAATAAAATAATGTTTTGGAAATAATAGTTTAATGTTTGTGTAATCAATGTGGACATTTTAAACTTTTCCAAGCTTTCATGACGAGTATAAGGATTAGAGCTTAATTTGTGTTTTTATAAGTTTTGATTAGATATGTTTTTTGGTGCCAGCACGAATAAAATAGAAAATTTTTGTATTAAAAGAATAGTATTTTGTAGTTGACGTTCCATATTTTGGGTGTTTCATATCAAAAGAAGTGGCAATCCAACAATCACTTGGTTAAATAGCCTTTGAATAGTTCCATCGGTAAAGGGAACACTATTGTTGAATTTTTCTCGGCAGCAATTGAGCTAAGGGTTTGTAGGTATCGTAATTGTAAAGCAGCGGGTGAATCTGCAATAACATCGGCAGCTTCTTTCAGAGCTCTTGAAGCCTTTTGCTCTCCTTCAGCGGCAATCACTTTAGCACGAGCTTCTCGAGAAGCTTCAGCTTCAGCAGCCATGGCTCTTTGTAATTGTTGAGGTAGACGAACATCCTTACTGCAAGAGATGCAAAAACAAATTATTATTTCATCAACTCTAAATGTAAAACGAGTGTCAAGTCACTTACACTTCAACGCGTTCAACTTTAACTCCCCAAGGATCAGTGGCAACATCCAAACTACTCTGAATCATATGGCTAATTGATTCTCTTTCACTGAGAAGTTCAGATAAGTTTTTGGTTCCAAGTACATTACGGAGTGTTGTAGCAGCTAGTAAACGTGTTGACATTCCATAGTCTGCGACATTTGTAACAGCAACAGTAGCATTACTAATGCGATAATAAACAACCGCATCAACAGCTACAGTTACAGAGTCCTTAGATAAGATCTAAAGAAATATAAATAAAAGAAACAATTGTCACTTCAGGTAAGAAAAAAAGTAGATAGATGGCACAGTTGATTTGATTTAACATTGTGATTATGAAATGTGATTTTGTGTTTATAATGTAATTCCGAAATCGCACGCAAAAAATACTCACCTCTTGAGGCGGAACATCAAAAGTCACCGTTCTCAAATCAATTTTACAATATGAATCAATACAGGGAATGATGAAGAAGATACCAGGTCCACGAGCCCCACCCTTAACCAAGCGTCCTAACCTAAAAATAACGGCTCTTTCATATTCTTGGACAACCTGGAATAAAGAACAAATGAAAATATAAAATTGAAATATTAATTGAATAATGTAAAAGATAAATAATGTAAATTTTCAACATGAAACGGGGTAAGAGTTTGATTAATATTTATTTGACTTACCTTAACGGTAAAGAGAAGAGAGAATGGTAAAGTAATGACAATCAATAAGATTGATATAACGCGTAGCAAGGTAGCAATTATAGCATTGTTTTCACCCACATTTGCTGAAATAAAGGAAAAAGAAAGAGTAAATGAGATAGCTCCAGTTTAGCTCTCTTTAATAAACTTACCTCCATCTTCATGGTCAGAAAACACGAATTTCCGTTCAGATTTTTGTGGTGGTGGTGTGAGGGCAATTTCAACGGACATTTTTCCAATTTAAAACACGATCACTAAGTTGTGAAAGATCGATAATAAAGAAAAAAGCGTTACTCTAAATTGACTAGGATAGACAGAGGCAGGATGGAGCGAGATGCGCCCAGCTGGCCCATAAGACTAGTTGAGATCAAACAAAGCGCGTAACCATTGGAGAGATTTTCCGAGATTATCCAAACATTAAATAAAGTCTGGTTTAATGTAGCTATCGATGAGGAAACTTAAAGGCCTGAGTTACGTGATAGATTGGGACTTCACAGTTTTATTTAAAGTCAATTCGCACTAATCAGCTGTAGCTGTATTCCATGGTTTGGATTAGGTCTTGGTTAAGGATAATAAATCTGAAACCGTCTAATATTAATCCTCACTTCTTTCTTTTAAACCATAACCCATTTTGGATATCAAAAGATTAACAGTGATTGTTTCACAAAATTATTGAATTAACAAAGTTTATCGTAATAGAGTTGGGTTTTTATTATCAAATATGGTCTTGAGATCAATTAAAATAAAACATTCAAACATTCAATTTTATACAACTTTGTATTCGGGGGATATAATTCTATTAATAATTGAATGGGAATTCAATAAGTGAATGAGATTAACAATGAGTGATTAAAATAAAGAATTTTTTATTTGATATTGCCAGATTAGTTGATGTTTGTTAATTATAAGTGATTTTGATTTACATTAAAACAAGTCGCGATATAGAGAGGTTTTCAGAGTTGTTCAAAGAGCTTACAAGTTATCTCGAGATTATAAATGTGATCAATCAGATATTAATATATTTTTCTCAGAACCCTCACAAGTCGCCGTGATTAACCATGATTTCAATAACGAATGAAATTTTAGTCTAAAAGAAAGATAGTTAAGTATTAAATTATTATCAAATTGATTTCTGTGTATAAAAAATCCAAGCTAGCAAATCTTGCAGCTATCAGCTAATCATCCTTGATCAGCTAGTTATATGTCCTTTAAACAATTCCATTGGAATAGGGAATACTATTGTTGAGTTTTTCTCGGCTGCAATAGTAGCCAGAGTTTGCAAATATCGTAATTGCAAGGCAGCAGGTGCATCGCTAATAACATCGGCAGCTTCTTTCAGAGCTCTTGAAGCCTTTTGCTCTCCTTCAGCAGCAATCACTTTAGCACGAGCTTCTCGAGAAGCTTCAGCTTCAGCAGCCATGGCTCTTTGTAACTGCTGAGGTAGACGAACATCCTTACTGCAGAAAAAAACAAGAATAACAAATGATTATTTCATCAACACTAAAAACACCACTAAGCATCAAGTCACTTACACTTCAACACGTTCGACTTTTACTCCCCAAGGATCGGTTGCTTCATCTAAACTACTCTGAATCATGTGGCTAATTGATTCTCTTTCACTGAGAAGTTCAGATAAGTTTTTGGTTCCAAGTACATTACGGAGTGTTGTAGCGGCCAATAAACGGGTTGATCGTCCATAATCTTCAACATTGGTAACGGCAACAGTGGCATTACTGATTCGATAATAAACCACAGCATCAACTGTCGTAGTTACTGAATCTTTAGACAGAACCTGTAATGGCAAATTAAAACAGCTGTATGAGTTATCATCTAATATCACATAGTAAAATGAAAATTCTTACCTCTTGAGGTGGTACATCAAAAGTCACTGTTCTCAGATCCACTTTAGTATATGAATCGATGCAGGGAATAACAAAAAAGATACCAGGCCCACGGGCACCACCTTTAAGCAAACGACCTAACCTAAAAATAACAGCTCTCTCATATTCTTGGACAACCTAAAATAAAAAAACATACGAAACATTAGTTAACATACAGTATTAAAAACCTAAACGCACACAGTTTCTCAGCTGATCATTATTTCATTTGTTAATGATAATTAGATTACGTACCTTTATACAGTAAAAAAGAGAGAATGGTAATGTAACGATAACCAGTAAAACTGAAATAGCTGTTAGAAAGAAAGTAGCTATAGAATTGGCTTCCTTCTTAGCTATTAAAACAGATACATGTTAAAAAATAATTAGTAAAGATTCAAGATTGCTTTTGACTTCCAAAGCTGATTCCTAATAAATTAAATTCAAACTTACAATTTTCATCATGGTCCGAGAAGATGAACTTCCTATCAGTTTTTTGAATATCTGCAACTTCAATATCAACCGACATTATTTAAATGAACAAAGAAAAATAACAAGAACAGAATAAACAAAAGAAAAAGCAAATGAATAATAGTTTATCAAACGATGCAACGACAAAGGTGTGTGATTATGCACAAGAGCAAAAAGAAACTGTTTTCCTTTCCCTTGTTTACCATTTTTTTAAATATATATCCAGCTAATTATCTGATCGGTTCGAGAGTTACTCCTCATCCAGATTTTGTGTGAAATGCTTTGACGCAACAATGAATCATACTGATAACATACAAAACCGTTTATCTTTGATTTGTAGAGTTGATTAAACGATACAAAATAAAATGATTACAAAAAGTTTCGAAGACCGGACCAAAGATTAGAGTAGTGCTAGGTTCTTATGAGATGATATTTACGCATGCAAAATGAAGGATTATTTTTAGATGTGTAATCCAATATTACTCACATTAACCGATATCAATTCATGGTGAAGTTCATAGTTAAGTAAAGGATTCAATTAGTCAGTTCACGTGCAATAAACATCAGTTTGTTTGTATTATTTGAATAATCTTGATCTTCATTGTCTTCCTTTAAATTGATGAACTAATCGGTTTCCTAAAATTATTTGATTTGTAAATGAAATCTTCATCAAGATTCCAAATCATTTCATTATAAAGCTAAGTGCAAAAGTATTGGCTATCGAACTCAAAATCCTGAAAAATCCAAATCGCGCCAAATCGTCGTAACTCATCATTAAAATGAATTTTCCAATACTTTTACACTAACTTAGCTTTAGTTAATCTATTAATCTATTAGTGATTCATTCAATACCGTTTGCTTTTGATATGAGAAAATGAAAACTCTGAATGATCAATAAAGGTTCAATACACAATTGGCTTTATGTACAAAAAGAAGATATTTTATTGAAAATAGGTAACATTGAAGGTGACCAGGTTAGTGTTAACATTGTTAATTGGTGATTATAATAAAAAAAGAAACAAGCCACAACATTAATAATTTGTTCTTAAATTGCTTTGCTAGTTTCTTAAAGAGCTCATCAAGCTGTCTCAAGATTAATGTATAAATGTTAAAAGCGTCTTACAATTTTTGATTTTTTTGTTAATCATCGACGGAATAAAACACGAGGCAGAAATGAGTACAGCTGATGTGTGTTTTTTGTGTGTGATGCAGTTTCGAATGACAAATAAAAGGTATAAGGTATAAGCTTACAGAGGGATAAAAATTGCATTAAATCCCGCATTACTCTTTTCTCATTTTTTTTAACTTAGAAATAAAATATATATTATATATTTCCATGATTCAGTGCACCGAGCAGAGATTCTACGACAATAATCACATGGTTATATGTCCTTTAAATAATTCCATTGGAATAGGGAATACTATTGTTGAGTTTTTCTCGGCCGCAATTGAGGAAAGGGTTTGTAGGTATCGTAATTGTAAAGCAGCAGGTGAATCTGTAATAACATCGGCAGCTTCTTTCAAAGCTCTTGAAGCCTTTTGCTCTCCTTCAGCAGCAATAACTTTAGCTCGAGCTTCCCGAGCAGCTTCAGCCTCAGCAGCCATGGCTCTTTGTAATTGCACTGGTAAACGAACATCCTTACTACAAGGAAAGAAAAGTAAGAATGAATAATGATACAGACAATTTGTTGCAATCTCAAGAGATTGATTTGGCTTTTAAAATAGAAATATTATGATTGATTTACAGCATATAACTTACACTTCAACACGTTCGACTTTTACTCCCCAAGGATCGGTTGCTTCATCTAAACTACTCTGAATCATGTGGCTAATTGATTCTCTTTCACTGAGAAGTTCAGATAAGTTTTTGGTTCCAAGTACATTTCGGAGTGTTGTAGCGGCCAATAAACGGGTTGATCGTCCATAATCTTCAACATTGGTAACGGCAACAGTGGCATTACTGATTCGATAATAAACTACAGCATCAACAGCTACAGTTACTGAGTCCTTAGATAAGATCTGTAAATCAAAATTAAAATTAAATATTTATTAAATCGTAACGTCAAATATGATGTGGGTGACTATAAAATTAAAATCCTAAAATGATCACTTGTTTTCATAGATTGATGGAAACGTGAGCGAAGTTTTGGACTACTCATGTAAATTAATTGCAAACCAGCTAGTATAATGCATAACATCAAAGATCACATTTGCTAGAAAATCAACAATATATTGTTGTAAATTGATTCATTTGATTGGAAAGAGTTGTTCTCATTACTTATTTTCAATCTCTAATTGATATGAATATAACTGATGATGAATCACTAATTTACGATCAGGATAAAAGCAGCTCAGGTTCTGATGAGAAAGGTACCATGGAAAATGAGATAAAGAAGTTAAATATTTGAGTTCTATTGGCTGGTAAAGAGAGAAAATGATAACGTTAAACAAGTTGAAACTCTTTTTTTTGTTAATGCCACAGATCAAAAGACAGAGTATTGTCGAAGAGAAACCATAATAAGTTGAGCTGATAGTCCATCAATGAAAATCTCTTGATAGTTGATAAATATTTGAGTAACAAATAAGTCAAACCAATGAATGCCACAAAATATATGCCATGAATATGAATGGGGGAGAAGCTAACAAAATAAGATAAACAGCATCTCATTTCATCACTTTACACCAATTTGGTCTAGGTTAATGGTATGCATTTTAGTTGATTTAGCAATTAATGTATCCGAAGAAATCACTTATATCTCAGAAGTCATGTAACCCCTTGAAATGTGATCAATTATGTTCATGAATAACTTTCCCTTTCAACACCATCCGAAAGTTGTAGAAATCAAAGATTCTCACCTCTTGAGGAGGAACATCAAAGGACACTGTTCTCAGATCAATTTTACAATATGAATCAATACAGGGAATAATAAAGAAGATACCAGGTCCACGGGCACCACCTTTAAGCAAACGACCTAACCTAAAAATAACAGCTCTCTCATATTCTTGGACAACCTAGGAAATAGAAGAAAAAAAAATGTAAATAAATAATGGTGATAAATAAGTATGCGTGATGAGGAATTTATGTTATGAAATAAATCAAGTTAAGAAGAAAGTGACAGCCTTGCGTGCACAAATATTCAAAATAACTTATCCAAGTCTATTCTTAATCAAGTATGGTCAACGACTCAGCATATCAAATAAATGAAATCTCTATCATACAAAAATGAATTGACAGTTGAATGGATAAAAATAGCAAAAGATGGAAAGAAAGAAGACCATGTGTGTAAAGAAAATGTTTTGACTTGACTAAACTTTAAATGCTTTTAAAACAAAAGTTGAAGGTAAAGCTATTTATGAAACAGTAAGTTGAAACAGTTGAAAAAGAAATACTTACATTAACGATGGTATCAGTTTCAAGAGATTACATATAATCATTATTTAATGACAAATTAAACACAACATGCTTAAATAACAATTACAAGAAAGAATCGATTTTGCCAACAAACTTTTTCCGTGTTAAAATGACAAGCAACAAGCAACCCAAAACAACCTTGGCAACGCCATGTTGTAAGGGAAATCATATGTTTAAACGAGAGAGGAAAAGAAAGAGAAGTTAGAGAAAGAGAGAGAGAGAAAGCGATACAAAATGGAAGACTCAATTTTAAAGACTGAAAAAACAAAACTAGCAATTAAAGTTAATTAAATTAAAACTGTAGATCTATCAAGTGAATGTTGAAAAATTGTCACCACTAGATGAACAGAAGAAAAGACATGTTGATTATGATAGATTGGGTGTGATTCAGGCTACTTCATGTGTCAATTAACCAAGGCTGGTTTTCATGTAACAGGCAAAAGGGGAGGAAAGACAAGACTAGTTTTTTTTGGTTGGAACATTGGAATATTTGTTGGATGACAATAACAATTTGATTAACTTACCTTAATACAAAACATAAGAGAGAATGGTAATGTAACGACAATCAGTACAACCGATATGGCGGTTAGAAAGTAGGCACATAAGCCATTGTTTTCAGTGTTATTTGCTGTGAAACAAAGAAAAGAAAAGCGTAATTAGTTGGAAAGTTTATCATGTTTACAGCTGGTTTTCAAATCAACCTTACCACCATCTTCATGATCAGAAAAGACAAATTTTTGTTCAGTTTTCCGAGTACGTGCAACTTCCACATCAACTGACATTATTTAAATCAAACAAGATTAAATAATAATATCACAAGAACAGAATAACAAAAGCAAAAGAAAAAGCAAATGATGAAGAGTTTATCAGACGATGCAACGAGAGAGGCAACGACAAGGGTGTGAGTGAGTTACAGTAAAAAGGAAAGCTCAATAAAAATGTCTGCCATTTGCTTGTTTACTTTTGGCTGTTTTATCATGTGAACTCTGCGTAATTATCTGATTATAGAGTTGAGCAAGATTTTTTGTCTCTTTTTTTCATCATCATTAGTTCATCATGTTATCATCAAATGTATGTGTTGATCGGAGATTAATTATGAAAAAATTTGCTTACTTATAACCAAATGATAGAAACCCAATTTAAGTCTTTTCAATGTAATGTGTTTTGTTATACAGTTGAAAATATTGGTCCTTTGGTCAAGACGCTCAATCCAAGAATTGGGTTTTAATTAGAGCAATAAATGTATTGAGTTTACTTGAGTCTTAATATCCTCAAGATTTCATGTTTAATTAGCCTTTGTGTTACGCAGTTAACATAATTTCAATGGCTATTACTTGTTGAAGTCCAATTCAATTAATGAAGTACACATGAATTGATGAGACATTCATTTGCAGACATGTAATATAACCATTGATTTGGGCAAACAGACCTTTTCCAATGATGATCAATATCATCTAGATGATTACAATGAATGATTCTAGTTTACCATGTGGACTCATCAGGGGATAAAAAATAGTTTTTAACAAGGTAAGCATTCCTTACACGTATTATGTACAGTGAAATTGGATCAATTTGAATGAATAAACATGTGAGCAATAAGATTTGCAAACATGATAGGTTTGTATTTTCAGTAATCATGAAAATCGTATGTCAAACGAACCTTCAATATTGGACAATAATATTCAATTACCGTTGTTGTATCGATTAATGATAAAGCTTGTATTGTAAGCATTATAAACATATGCTAACCAGATGGAAAAGATTGAAATGGATCAACATTAACCTCCATGTAATGTTAATAATCCAGTTTTGATTATTTTAAATTATTCAATGGTATATTCAATTCCTTTGAGATTAAATATGTATTTGTATGATACAATTTACATTGATTTATATTTTTGTTCATTGCTGCTATCCTTCAATTCACCATCAATGCTTCAAATTCAACTCTTAATGCATCGGGATATGCTTTTTTTATTCAAATTAATTCTACTTCCAATTTACTCGATTCCGTTTCTTTCCAGATTACATTCCCATGTTAATTGGTAACAATTGTATCGTTAACATTTCAACCTTTGGCTTCAATAAATTTTGTCAATTGACAATCAATAAGACAAGCATGAGAGTTCAGTGAAAAAAGCTCAAGTTTTAACCAATGTCAATGATAGAAAATCAGAAGAGGAGAGAACAAAAGACTTTTCTAATGACCTGAATAATCATCGTATCCAGCCAATTATAAGCTGGAAATGTTAGACATTTACAAAACCGCCATTTTCACCGTTTTATCATCGGTTAAAAAATTAGCTTCAATAGATAACAATCAACATTTTGTAAGTAGTCTTGATGACTAGTGAGTCAAGCCATTGTCAATAAAATAAACATTCACTTTTGTCAGCTTTTCAGTTGGTATCTAACCCTTGAAAGTAAGTGATCATAAATTAAAATAATCAGTCTTTTTATTTCTGTTGGTTAACTCATTCAATACAGCTGGAACCGAGTCTATTCCTAAGGTGACCAATTCGCAAAGAAAGGAGCGATTACGACTTGATATTTGGTGAAAGAATTTTAAATCAAAGGAACGTTTAATCGGATATTGATGAGGTAAGATAGATTGAAAGATCAAACAGTAATCCATCATAATGGTTTATAGATGATCAAGAATTGAGGTTAAAGGTTGAATCCATGAGATTCACTGAAATTAACCTTGATAACTCTTTCTTTCTGCTTTTTGTTCACCTTATTACATTTTGTTTTGGTCAAAACCTAATAGTCTAAAGAACATATCATCTGAAAATTTAATCCAATACTAATGGTTAATTACGTTACAGGTCCAGATTATTGCGGCATTTGAGACAATGATGGTTTATAACACAATACACTAACCGAGATAAACTCTCAGCAGGGTTATTCTGAGATGAGATTAGATGGTTCTAAACGGAACAACATAATGAGATTGGAATCCTTATTTTGGAAGGAATAATGAGTTGAATAAAAAAGAGGAAGAAGATGAACAAAATGAACAAAAACAACAAGGAAAAAGACAGACTCAAGATAATGAAAGGCTATTTCTTAAAGAAGAGTCAAGTGACCAATAAGACTGGCCATTTATTGTTGCCATCTGAATTTGTTCCCGGGTTGAATTAAATTAGCTCCTTTATTCAGGACAATTGAGCTTTCACCAATAAACTTAAATGTCAAGACAAGTAAGCATAAATTTTGATTAAGCCTTTCCTTGTAAATTATTCTCATCTCATCTTAACGCTCAATCTTTTTTCCCTTTCAACTTAATCCTTTAAGATTATTCTTTCACCAACAACTTATAAATTGAATCATTTCCAATTTATTAGTGTGCAATCAATGTTTCATGTCCCAAACAATCAAACCAATTGTTCCCCTTAAACACCCCTCAAGCCACAACCAATTTTCTCACTTAACCTCATTATTGACAGTTTTCACTCTTCTTTTTTATTTCTCTTGTTATTGTCTTCCTCTTGCAATTTATATCTTCATTAATCCTTTTTTCTCCTCTTCTTCCCTGTTATTGTTATCCTTTACGTATTCCAGAATCACTTGAGAAATCACTGGAAATCAATTTAACAAACCAACCTGATTATGTGTGTATCATCTTACAACAATGCAGAAAACCTGAAGGATTTACCATGGGGAATGGTATTACTCTATTAACATTGTTATTTACATCAGCAACAATCTCTGTCCAATCGTCACCATCTATATCCTTACTAAACGATCCATGAATTTCAACAATTTCATCCATATGGATAACGAAAGATTTACCTAATTCTTACACCAATACGTATTGTGCTCTTAACCTCGGAATAACCCTGTGAAATCAAATGTTCAATTGAAGGTCAATTAACTGAGCATTTCCATTTTCTTCAACCTTTTTACCTTCCCTCAACTCTTTCATCTCATTCAGCATATCATGCAAACTTGTCGTTGCCTTGACAGTTATTATTCTAAAATCCTATTAATTATCTAGTGATCGAACTACACTTGATTTGAATATTCCTTTTACCTTTTATTTCCCTTCTGTATACATTCATCTCTGTCTCAAGTCTAGTTTAACAATGAAAAAACGTCAGAAATGACCAGAATCTATCACTAAGGTAACCGATGAAACTGGTTAGTAATAAATAGACCTTATTGTTAAAATGATATTGAGATAGAGAATTATTATTTTTATCTCTTCATATTGTTGTGATAAAAACTGTTCAAAAAAAGACGAATAAGTACTAGGAGGAGAAGAAGAATAGGAATTGCGAGAATAACATTCTCTTTTGATGCTATTGATATTGATTAAGAACATATTAGCAGTTGGATCCAGGGCGTTCCAAAGAAGAGGGAAAAAAACTTGTGAAACATTTTATTCGATTGGATCGTTAAGAAGAGAACCAAGATGAGGATAAATCATCAGAATCATGGACAGAAACAGAAAACTCAAGACAAAATATCAGTTAATTTGATAACAATTGATTCACTTATCTTTTGGCCATCTCTGAATCAGGTTATACAGCTTTTTTTCCTGTTAATAATCTTTCTACAACTCTTTCCATCCCACTAAAACTACTATTAACCATAAAATATTTTCAGTTTACCCCTGAACTTTACTCACAACCTTTTAATCTACTCATCAGTCTTATGATTGTTTAGTAATCATATTAACCATTATTCTCAATACACACATATACTATTAGGACATGTACACATACACTAACAGTTAACTTTTTTTTCTTACCACTGTAATTAATTCCTCTTGAGAGTTTAATTTGGGCTGTAAAGCATCCATTAATGAATAGTAAATTTTGTATCCAATTATCATCTGTATTAATCTAACGATTCTAATTATTATCATTTTCTTTCTCTTCGATTTTAGCTATTAACCATGTATAAGTTAAAAGTACAGATTGATCATTGGAAACAGCTTAATGTATCCCAGGATAAAGAAGAATCAAAATTTGGCCTCTTTTCCTTCTCTGATCAACCCATCACTCGCAGGCCAACTAAAGAATGACCAACGGAAGGAAACGCAAATAGATAACATGGATGGTTAAACCAGGATGGAAACGAGAAAAGAGATCATTGATTTGATAAAGTGGATTGCAACAAAAGAATTGGATTAAATACTTATATTGTATCTAAATCCATTTGATGTTAATCAAATGTTGAATAGTTGAAATACATAATGATACAATAATGGATACAAAATTTTGACCATTCATGGATCCAAACGTTTCCAATCAATTACAAGAAAAGAGGATAAAATGGTTTGTCCAGTTGATCAATGAATGTCAGTGTTGAACATTTTTCTTCAACTTTTCCTATCCTGAATCTTGTTGAAATTGGTAGATTAAAACATTCACTTACCGTTGAAGATATGCTGTTAGATTGAAAAACACTAAAAAAGCTGCTACATTTTAATGTTAGAGTTGGTACTTTTAAAATTGAATAGGAAAGTGAAAAAAATGATTTCTTCCTATGATCGATTGAAAGTGTATGTGTGTGAATCTTAGCTGCTTTTTTCATTTCTATCTTCATCTTCTTTGTCATTTTCTGCTTCTTCATCTTCGTCGTTTTCTTCTGATTAAATGCAACCAGCAAATACTAGGAAATTTGAAACAGTTTCAGAAGACCTGACAACTTTTAATGCAACTAATGTTTCCAAAGCTCCCATTGTGTGAACAATTTCTTGTTGTTCATCATTTAATTTGATTGGGACGTTTGCTGTTTTTTTTTTCTTCTTTTCAATTTTCTCATTCCTTGCAACTTTCACGATGATGATGGTGAGGATGATAAAAAAAGAAGAAGAGAAAAGTGAAAAGTGAAAGCTAAAGATACGATTGAATAGGATGTTGAGTAGAAGATGAAGACGAAGTAGAAGGAAAAAAGGCTGCAACGATGAGAATGAAAAGAGAGGCCTAGAAGAAGATAAAGAAAGAGATGATAATGATGAAGATTGAGAGGAAAAAGATGAGAAATGGTAAAGTAAAAAGACCAAAAGATGAGCATAAGTTAGATGTAAGTTTATGTTACATTCACAGTTGAATCTCTTTTGGCTCATTGAAAAAGCAAAACTCATTTTTGTCTTGTTCATTCTTCTTCTTTTAGGAATCTCAAGCAAGCCAAGGGATAAGAGATAATCATTGAAATGGATTTGATTCGAACTGATTGTCCAACTAAATCTTGAATTTCATCTTTTCCTGATTGAAAGTCGGATAAACATTTCAACGTATTGTATTTACTGTATGTGCCCATCAATATTTATCAACATTCAGTTTAATTAATCAAATTTTATTTCCACTCTTCCATAGAAACAAAATTGACTGTTGTTGAAGGATCCAACGTTATAATCAACTCGACAATTAATGGACAATTATTTTCCAATTGGTTCCTCCATTAACTGCTGGTCAAGAGTTATTTCATCTTTACTCGTACAAGAACCAGTGTCAATGGAAAGTTGAGATTACTATTGGATTGTAAATATATTTATCAGAACATTCAATTCTAATTACAGTAAACCCATGATCAAACCTTATCATTATTTCCTTAATGAATGTTTAGTTGAGTCAAAGATGATTTAATTAAATTAATTGAATCAACTTTAATTGAACTGTTTTCATCTCTTTCTTTACAGCCTCATTTCAGTCAGAGACAATTGTCAATCCTATTAATAGATGGTTAACAATCAACAATAAAAACTTCACCAAAGGAACCAAAGGAAAAACGAAGAAAGAATGAAAAAAAGACAAGGAAAAAAGGCAAAGAAAGCAAACGAGAAGATGAAATTATCTTCCATCAATACTCATAATAATAATGAAAATAATAATGTTGGTTCTTTATATTTCACTATTTTTTTATTATTTATCTCAAAATAATCTTTTGATGACTTTTATTACATATTTTTGGATGTTACCATTTCCTAGAAAGGTCAATTGTACTTGGAACCAGTCCAAATTGTTGTCCAATCATCAGCAAAAACTAATATAAATTGTCATAGCTGATATTACAAAATTGTTGTAGTTGTAAGATGTAGACACATATAACCAAAAGGAAGGGCCATATTTCAATGCGACTTTTTGTTGTGGTAAAAACACAAAAAGATGTTGAGATATGACAAGTTTCATGTTGATTTTAATTTCATTGGCTTTTGCAGATTCTTATTGAATGTCACTCAACTTGAAAGATGTTTGTTTATCATTATTTGCCATAACAAACTTAAATTCATCTTTTTTTATTATGAATTTACTTTGACAGCAAGACATCATCTTTCTGACCTACAAAATGACATCTTTCTGAGCTTTAATTTGTTTGAAATAAAACAAACTCAAAAAGATTCAAATAAGTCTACCAATGAAACCAATCCAAATTGGACACAATCAAGAAAATGTGATTAAATTGTCGCCAAACTCGGAGCAAATACTGAAGGGCAAATATTACAGGTTTATTGTAATATAAATCAATGTATCAACACTTTTCTTTTGCCAATTTGGTTTCTTTACTTGAACATAAATGTTTAACCAAATTGTTTCTTTTGCCTTTTTCTTATAATGATTCCATCAATGTATTGAAAAGATTGAAATTCAGCCGTGAACCTTTTCAACTGGTCACACAATCAGGATGATGATGATTATGGGCAAATATTTTTCATCTAAAATGAAATGGAAACTTATTTTCAGGACAAAAATACTGTTATACACACCAACATCATGAAAGGCAAACATAATTCAAATGGCTTCAAGGCTTCCTTGACTTAAATCTCAATTGAATCAATTGCTTTTCCCTTTTCGCCTTTTAACTTCACCGAATCCTTAAGAGTTGCAATTTCAAGCTCAATTCAAGAGTACTCTGGTTAAATTGATAATCTGGAAAAATTGTTGAGAGATCCAAAGGAAAAAAGAAAAAGGAAAAACCTGGAAAAATATGAAAAAATGTATCTTTGTGCTCGTCAGGCACAAGCTAATGGTCTGCCAGTGTTAATGTCATTTGGTCAATTGGAGGAAGGGAAAAAAAGTTAAACCTTCAACCTGATCTAATTTAATCAACTTTGCTTCCAATGTTACCTTCAACCTTTTCCTAATTGTACAACTTGATATTATTTGTTATTATATCAGATGATAATCTGTTTAAATAAATAGTATAAATTGATTGGTATATTGATACACTAAATAAATATGTTAACAAGCAGTGAAATGAATAAATGTAACTGACATTGAATATAAAGTATCCTAATGAGAATGGTTTCTGCTGGTGAAAATTCAACTTGCTTCCAAGTTGAATGAACATTACAATAGCGTCAACACTTACTAACATTCATCCTCAGCTTGAATCACTTGGTCCATGTCTTCAAATAGGAAATGTTTAATCATTTAATAGGAAATTGAAACTTTCCCCAAATCAAAGTTAAACTAAGCATTTCAACTAAAATAGACAACATTTTAACATGCCAAGAAGCCTTTGATTTTCAATGGAAAGAAATGTTGAAAAACAATAACATTAACATCAACATGTAACATTAATGAGCAACAATTCCTTTTATTTGTATTTAATTTTCAATCAACTGTACATTTAACCTCTATCTTTCTACCTCTTCCCTGCATTTCCTGAGTATTTCAATGATTCTGCTTTTAATGATTAACAGGCTTGAGTGTAGCTAAAGGCTATATTTACAGTTAAAGTAAACAATTGTTGAAACTTTTCTTGTACAGTTGTAACAGACTGCAACCAAATAGGTGAACTTTTCCTCTAAGAATGAAAACCCTCATGAACACATGCTAATTCAGAGTTGTAGATGAATGGCAAGTGTAAGATGGAGTCGCAACATTGAAATTCAATCGTCTGAAGGTTAGCTAATGAACTTGTCGGAGATGGATAGAATAAAAGAAAAAGATTTGATTATTTCCTTTTCCAAAATAAATGCCAAAATGAATTTATTATTCATTTTAAGTAGAAGATGAACACTTCAAGTCACTTTCAAAACATTTGACAAATCGCATTAGTACACTTAAACATAAACTCCTAGAAATTAAAATGAAAATCAGTTAATAATTACAGTTGATATAAATTTTTAATAACTAAATCTAGTTACTTACAATGGGTAAAGCCTTGAGATCCCTACAAAATGGCATGGCTTACATGGAACCAATTTGTTCACAATAACAAAGTAAAAACATAATTTAGATTTAAATTTCAACAGCAACAATCAACTTGACAATAAAATTAATAGACTAAATTGTTCCTGTTAAATCCAATTGTGATGTAAATTATAAACAAATTAAAGTAAAAGTCAAACATTACAAGTAACCAAAGACAAAAGGTAAAGTAAAAAAAATGAATAAAAAGGAGGGAAAAGTAAATATCAAAACTGGTAAAGGCGCTCAATACAAATGGTTAAATGCAAGAAAAGACAAAATTAGGAAGAAAACAATTTAAATTGCCAAACATTAACCATTTAAAGATAAAATGAAATAAATTTAATTTTAATTGTAGACAATAAAAGGCAGTAATCAACAATTTATCCAATTCAGTGAAACTTGCAGCCTCCAAGTGCAGTGGGTTTGTAAAGGCAAGTATAAAAATCAAGATTACAACTAAAAGTTGACTTGATTTTGACAGTAAAGCAAATTGATTGAATTAATCAAAGGCCAATCTTTTCACGATCTCAATTAAAGTTAAATCAAAATGTAATCAAGACTCAATTAGAAGCGCTTTTATCTCAATCAATTTAACTCTTGTTCAACTCTCTGGCAACATAAATCACGAAAGCAAAAAAAGAGCTCAAACTCAAAGGTTTATTAATTTTCTGCATAATTAAACCTCAATAATACAGACTAAGTATAATAATAAATTGACATTTTCCTATCTCATAATAGTCAGCTGGTTGAGACACTAATAACTTTAACCAACACAATTACAGTTGTAATTAACTGAACAATCTTAAAGAAGGTCGAGAAAATCAATACAAATTGGTTAAACAGTAAACCCATTTTCATCTGAATCAGTCTCAACCTTTTCCATCATTTAAACATTTTGATTGTTAATGACAAAATTAGACAGTTTATTTTTAACACTGTTTTGATTGTGATTAGAGAAGCTAAAAGTTGACAAAATGGTCAATCAATTGAGCCATCGATTGACAAGAAAGACTTGGGTTTACTTGGTTAACCTTTTAATTTTCAATTGTATTCAATGAATAATGATAAATTCAGTGCTCTTTTGACAGTTCAATTGTTATCACATTTTGAGGTTCCATTTTTTTCTGGGATTTTTCACTCCATACAAATGTTTCCTTGGTTATTCATGTGAAAATTCATGTTGATGAAAAGATTAAGATTTATTTCAATAGACAAAGAAAGAAAAGGAAATTTTCCAGTTTACTTTTTTCAACCTTTCCTTCAATTTCACTGTTAATGGTTGTGATTGTGTTTGAAAGAGACTGATTTTGCTTCCAACATTGATAAATCATTTTTAATTTCATTATAACCATAAGCTTTTTTTGATACCAAATGAGAGACGGTTTGATTTATCCTTGGAGTTAGTTTAATCTTTATTGTTGATATCATACCTTGTTGCATGATTGATGGCAACAATTTACTGGCATATTAAAATGACTGAATTATCAAGCCCATAAGTTGAACAGTTGAAAAGGAGTGAAACTTTTTTCTCTCAACTCATTAGCATTTTGAGATTTTTGCAAAAAAATCAGCTTCTTTAAACTGTGAGTGGTTAGTAGAGGCTATTAATAACAAAAGGGAATGAAAATAAAAGTTCAATTTACTGATAATTTGACTTCAGATTCAGATTACTAATAAACCACAGAAAGTTAATGAGAAAGAAAATTCGTTATTTATCTGAATGAATTTAGTCAGAACAAGTCAGAAAATTTGGTTTGCTATCTTTAAATTGAGATGATGTTGCATCTGTTTTGACTTGGCTATTTGGATGCTTAAAGAAGTTTTGCTTTCAACTGAATGATTAGTTTGAACTAGGCATTAAATCTTAAACAGAAGTGTTCATTTCGATCAGTAAAATTGATACAATGATGAAAAATCTCTCTCATTAATTATTGAGACTTTATGGGATAAAAGATTGCGACCCTTTCAAGATCCAGATCTGAGATTTTAAGGTCTTCTTAGACATTTCGTCAGAACAGTAGACTATAAGCAGCTCTGTCTGAAACATTGACGATTCACCATTTGACGAGTTGATCGTAATCACGGTGAATTGATGAGTTCTAACAGACATTTCGTGATTATCCGATGAGTTATGAGGTTATAGAGCATTTCAATGAAGAAGCAAAAAAACACAATTTAGTCATTGAAGCAACTTGGCATAAAGTTTGTGAATAAAAACGATAGTCAGCTCAATGTAGCGCAATTAAGACCAATAGAAAGGTTTTGGAACCATCCGGAGTCCCTGGTTATTATTTTGAGCTCATTTGATTATTGAATTAACCATTAGGATTGACCAAGTTCAATAAATCCCAAGCCCGAACTTTATTTCAATATGTGTTTCCTCCGCAAAGCTAAATGTTCCAAGAATAAACTTGGCTAACTTTCATTTGGTCGTTAAACTGTGAGATTTCCGATTTTGGTTAAAATTGATTTTGATCCTAATAAAAGCTTCCAATCCATTGAACAATTAGCTTGGGTGAGAAGGGAAACATTTTTCATTGGAAAAGTTGATTGATTGAATCACTTTGATTGGCAATTTGGTTTTCAAAATTGACCAATAATCCAAAGCTGTGAGAAAAATTCAACATTCAATATGAAAGAAAATTTATTTCAATATAATCGATTATGAGCCTGAAAATGTCTATCAATATTTATCAATTTAACTTGAACCCATCCAAAGGTTTACTTTCATCTTATCAATATTAAAGAAACATTGAAACCAGGAAAAGTTTTAGACTCAAGCATGAGATTGAACGCTAAGAATGCATTATTATTAATCCAAGGGAAAGCATTATTGTTATTAATAAGAATGAAAATAAAGGCAAAATGTTGAACAAAAATCGGCCAACATTTTACTCCATTTGCTTGACCAGAGAAAAGTTTTGCAAATAATCTTTAGTAATAAAGTGTTTCAAGTGATCAAGTAAACATCATGTTAACTCGGAACAAATTGCCAGAGCAAAATTGATCCATTCCGAGTTGATTGGAAGAAATGTGAAAATAATTATCGAACAAAGTTTTCAATTATTCGTAAAAACTTTTTCTCGTCTGATGTTTGTTGGCAAATTATTCGGCAAATCTGAGGCCAAGAACTTTATTCAGCTGAACAGAATAATTGATGAGGAAGAAATGGATGAAAAGAAGAAAAGATTGAAGAAAAATATTGAATTTTTTGTTTGCCTGGAAAACAATTTAATCCATCTGTTACTATTGTTTCGTCTGTTGAATCTGATGTCTGATTAAAGATTGATTTATTCACCATTTCACTTGGAAGAAGCGATGAAATTTCATTTTACAAATGTTAACCTTTTATTTTGTTGTTCATCAGTTCATGTTTTAATGAGCAAAACCAAAATATCGACTCGATTCTGGTATAAAAAGCTTTTGCTTTATTGATTTTCAAATGATACTTGAAAGATGATTTACTTTTACCCAATAAATGTACGATGTTTGGCGTAAAGTCAATCATGACTGAATCAAATTGGTTTCAATTTTATTGTTGTTACAAATTATCAAAATGTTTCTCAAGGGTTGATCAATTATATTACTGATGTTTATCATGAAATACTTGAACAACGAAAGGAAAGGTAAAATATTGGATTCTCAATTGTCAATAAAGCATGAATCTGCCTCTTCAAGTGTCTCTGTATTTGGTCAACTTTTGCTTCTCAATTAGCCTCATCCATTTCAGTCACATTCAGTTTAGAAGAAAAATCTTGCAAATCGACGATTTTCTTGGCCAATCTCGATAATCCTAGATGCTCTTGAATCACGACAGTAGTAAAGGTTGACTATTGTGTCAAAAAGGCGGGGCTTATTTTTACCCCCAAAAAAGCGGAAAACAAGTTTTAAGAGGTTAGTTTGAATGCTATTTTGTTATAGCCAATTGCCATACTTTTTGTTTACTAGTTTTTAGCGAAAACAAGCTATGCCTCAGGGCATATACCGTACCCATAGACCTCAATGTTAATTATTTTTCTTAATTAACTTAGCAACTAACACTAACCAATTGATGTACAATACGTTGTTTTGAAGGTGTCTTTCTAACCATATGAAAAACTTTCCTAACAAGCCAATATTCACTAAAATTTTCAACACTAATTACTAATTACTAAAATTTTTAAAATGCTAATTAACAAAAATTTAACTAACAAATTATAATGTTTCATACATAGTTTTGAAGCTATTTCTTAGCTGTATTTAACTATGTTTAAACCAAACCTCTATGAGCAAACCGAGCTGAGAAAAAGTTTTTCTAGTCGCGAGCATAATAGAACGTGACTTTGAACATGAATCCTCAAAACCTTCGAAAGTTTTATGAAGAGTGCGTCTCTGACATCGAGGATGATTATTTAAACTCATCGCAAGAAGAACCATCCTCAACATCAAATATTGGCGACTCCTGTGTTGGTCAATTTTTGGTTAACGCTGATTGTTTCCGGGAAAGAGTTGAACCAACTTTAATCGATTTGGTTTCAGATGATGAAGAAGAAGAAGCACCCGTAAATAGAGGCTTCAAACGATTACGAGCTGACTCTATTTCTTTGTCCGACTGTAGTAGGTTCAAACCTTTGGACCTCTCAATGAAAAATTGGCTTTTCCATTCATTTGCCTTGCTTTTCTTTCATTTCATTTTTTAATTATTTGCACTTACCTTTTTGTATTTCCCCTTTTCATTTTCATTTTCTCCATTTTGAATTTTCCATTCTTTGTATTTTGAATTTTTCCAATTTTTCCAATCTCAATAAATTATTTTGAGTGAAATCTCTTTGTTTTTTTTCATTTGAAAAAGCAATTTTTTTCATTCAGTATTCGCTACCTGAGAAGAATACCCAGGCCGGGCGATGGGGAAAATTCACGTTCTATTATGCTCGCGACTAGAAAAAAATTTTCTCAGCTCGGTTAGAAAGACACCTTCAAAACAACGTATTGTACATCAATTGGTTAGTGTTAGTTGCTAAGTTAATTAAGAAAAATAATTAACATTGAGGTCTATGGGTACGGTATATGCCCTGAGGCATAGCTTGTTTTCGCTAAAAACTAGTAAACAAAAAGTATGGCAATTGGCTATAACAAAATAGCATTCAAACTAACCTCTTAAAACTTGTTTTCCGCTTTTTTGGGGGTAAAAATAAGCCCCGCCTTTTTGACACAATAGTCAACCTTTAC